GTCCGCCGCCTTCTCCACCTCCAATTCCTCCCCTGACTCGGAGCTCTCGTCCTCAACCGAGTCCCCTTCTCCGGTGACGACTCATCTGAGACTGACTCGTCTGTACTCCCAACCCCCCCCCCCCCCCCCCCCCCCCCCCCCCCCCCCCCCCCCCCCCCCCCCCCCNCCCCCCCCGCCCCCGGCGAGACCTTTCGGCGTGCTACGGGGGCTTTGCAGCCGTACTCTTCTGGTGTGAGACGTTTCGGCGCGTGACGGGGGCTCTGACAGCCGTACCCTTGGCCTTTATCTTTCCCACCACCGCCTCCTTTTCAGCTTCGCCTAGGTCAAATCTGGCTGTGGACCTCATCACAGTGTAGGGATCTGTTTTGTTCAGCGCCAACGAAGTGGCATGCTTACCTTCCACGTGGTGGGACATGGATTGCTTCCACACCCACTTTTTAGAGCCGCAAAACAAGCACTTTGTACGTTGGCGGTGCAAGGTAGATGACGTGAACTTGGACGCCGCTCTCGGCAGACGCGGTTTAGCCAAGCCATCTTATCGAAGGGGCTCGTTGATAGAGATCCCCTCCCCACGGAGACTGTGTCCATCGTGACCAACCTCCCCGAGCTTTTTCTCTCTCTCTCCTTTGCTACGGACGGTACCACGCAAGCTCCCCCAGGAGCTACGTGGATTGTACTACCTCCGTGCATGAATTGTGCCCCCCTTTGTATATAGGATTTATAGACTTGTATATATAGGAAATTGTATGGCGTTGGGGGAGGGGGGGGATGAGGCCTTCGTACCCGCCACCCCCGATGTTTGTTTGCCATCGGGGTTGGGTTTTCGTTGCTTGGCAACGACGTTGTATAATTTGCCGATCGTGAGCTCGACGACCAAGTTACCGGTTTTTTGCCCTTGGTCTATTTTTGCGGTAACCATAGTCTAATGAATGGTGGTCGACTAGATCATGTTGTGCGGGGTCGAGAACCCTCACTCCGCGCAAGGGGGATGATCGCACCACGTTGTGTTAAAATGGCCAAGCACCCTCGAGGCAGTTTCACAGTGCTTACAACTGTCTCTGGAAGTGAACACCAGAAAATTGATGAAGTCATACGCAGCTATCATCCATTCGCAAGGAAGAAAGCACAAGATGCCGAACACCCTTAGCAGGATGGCGCGCACCCTTCATGTGACTCGCCGAATACCTCACGGTGCTTCGCGCTCGGCAATGTGAGAGCCCGGTCCGGTGAGTACCCGGCGTGCTCCGTCCCGGCTTTGTAGGGATGCGAGATCAATGGTCAAACGACTAGGACATGCACGACTATGAGTACACGCCCCCTCCCCCCGGAGAGGTACAAAATAAAGTTTTGGCAGGTAGGTGTTGTTCTCCGCCCTTGCACCAGCATGAGATGTTTTTCTCGCAACGTGGTGGCTGCAAAAGATAAGTCTGCCAGTCTTCCTAAAATAATATCTTGCGAAGTCTAGGATACAGCACGTGTGTTGGCTGTCTCTTGCCTACTACTGTGTTGGGCGTTTTTTTTGTGGTTTGAATGGAGCACACATTGGCGGCTTGTACATGTGGTGGGTGCGCGAGGGCCATGCCATCGTTGCTCTGGTGAAGGATCGGCACACCCTCCCCGTCCTTTCGCTTGTTTTGCCCATATGCAAGATCCAAGACCGCGTTGGGCCCCGACGGAGGAGTGTCCGGCGAAAACGGCAACAACTTCACACAGTCCATACAGCATATCTGCAACGGCTACAAAGCACTTCAACCCCACAATAGCACCGACAAACAATATGCACGCTGTTGTTTGTTATGGACTTAATTTTTTTTCTTCAGCTTTGGGGACGCGACACTTGTTAACACCGCCGATACGTCGCAAGTCTTAACACTCAACATCAAACAAGAATGGGCACATGCGTGCGGGAACACGATGATACCAAATCGCCACGCCGCCAACATCCCGCGCGGTGTAGCGGACAAGCCACCCCCCTCTCCTGCCCCTTGTGGCATCATCATCATAGCAGATCTTTTATCGAGGTGATTTTCCTCTCAAAAATGTCAATTCGTCCTCCGTGAGCCATCATGATCCAGGTTATGATTCGGCCTTCCATTGCCGCAAATCACCCTGCCAGCCCCTCAGCGACAATTCCGGTGCTGCAGCTGCGAGAACGACCACTCCTCGCACCATCGGGTGAGCACGTCCCCTTACAACCACCGACACAATCCGAGCAAAACCGGGCGCTAATATTTGTGGAGGCAACGGATTTCTTGTTGCTCCCCCCACCACGCGAAGATAGCTCTTGTTCCAGAGAAGATCTGCTCCTAGCCCTCACGAGCATTAGGTACGGCTCTCGCCCGAGCTCGTCTTGTATCAGACTGACACCACCACCACCGCCGCGACAACCACCACCCCGCTCGTTGCTGGCACCATGATTGTTGTCGTTGTCGTCGGTAGCCGTTTCTCCGCCGGCTTGTTGCGCTTTCTTCTTGGCAGCGGCCGAGGGAAAGTCTGCGCGGGAGGTGATGGCGCTAATGCGTGGTGGCTTTCTTGAAGGGAGCCCCCTCGCCATGCGCTGCCGACGGCGCTCGCCGTTCAGCCGGTTTCTCACGCGCTTGCGGTAGGCGCAAAGGACTTCCGGCGAGGACCCGCGGCACACGTTCTCTTTTCTTACGTCGAGAACGTCGCCCATCTGAGGAAAGAACGGGCACGAAGACGGTCAGGAGGAACGGAGGACATGGACAATTTTCAGCGGGCGGGGAGTGTCGGAGATGCTTCCGTGGGCACGTAGACAGAGTAGCCAAGTACTACTGTAGACGGCAGATGAGCGTGGAGGATATCGAGCAGCGGTAGGAAAGTGTAAAGGGCAGTCGACACTATAGTATGATACACTCATATAGCGTTGTCACAAGTATGTGATAACAGAGGCCGCGTGCTCATGGGCTACCTCCTCCTCTCACCGGGAGTACAAGAGACGGTGTGAGCTAGTTCCCGGGAGACCCCGACGGACGTTCAAACAATGGGCTCTACAGCACGACCCATACACTTGTCTTCGAATACCTAAGAGCTCGCTAGTTTGGTTCTCTTTCTCACTCCTCTCCCAAACCATTTCCCCCAACACAATTCATCGCAGACGCCATCCAGGGATATCATCATCCCAGGGGCACCGGAATATTGTTCGAGACTGTTCAACTGACGAACGAGGCCGTCGCTTCTTCAGCGACCAGCCACGATGAGCTCAGCATCAGATACAGCTAAAATACACGCCGGGACCGGCAAAAGAGTTTTCGTATGAGATGTGATACCTGGCGCTCAGGATTATTGCTTCGCAGATCTCCAAAGTTCGGTTACCGGAGCTGGCGAAGCTCGAAACCCCGTCAATTATATCGACGAGGGGAGTTTACTAATTAAGATTGAATTGAATGATATCTACCACGTGCCCGTTTCTGCAATCGTAGTGCACGAGGTATTCGGTTGTGGACTGTAGCTACACGTACACTCGAGAGAGCTCGGCATCTGCTCGGCATGCCCTGATCAAGCTGAAACGCCGCTTCACCGCAAGTGCTTGTACGCTGAAGTCCGACTGAAAACCGGTGGCAACACATCGTCCGCGTCGTCCACGACTTCATGTGCACAGGTCAAACACAAGGCAAGCGATCAGGTACATAGTCATGCTACACACGCCAAAGCACGCGCAAGGCCGAGTTCACCCTCGAGGGCCCACCGAACACCAACCTCCTGACGTTCTACTTCAGAGAGCAGAGCTTGAGTTATGCGTCGGTGCACCCTGTTGAGTATCCCGGCAATCACGCCATGCGACCCTGTTTCTTTCCCAATCGCTACCGTCCTGACCGATCCCGTTCGCCAGGGAAACAGAGAGAGGGGGAGCGGGGAGGGACAGAGAGAGACAGAGAGAGACAGAGAGCGAGAGAAATATGCGATTCGATGCACACAAGGCATGCGTGATACAGACAAGGCAATGTGTACCTTCTGTATCCACTCGGCCCGAGCCAACGCTCGCCTCGACATGGCCCTGGCAAACGCCGCCCCCCCCGCCCCGCCCTCCGCCCTCGACCGGCGCTCCATAGACGCTCGCTCCGCGGCCAGGGCCCTCGCCTCCACCCGGCGCAGCTCTACTCGTCGCTCTTCGACGCCCATCGTCCGGTCACGGCAACCGCCTTCTTCCGTCCCGCCGGGGTCGTCCTCTTTTTCTTTATCGTCGCTGCTGCGGAAGCCATAGACGGGGATCAGATGGTGCTCGGAGTAGTCGGATGCCTTGAGCGAGTCCTCCAGGGATTTCTTCCGCTCCCGCGTAGAGAGCTTCCACCTGATGGGGTGACGTGAGAAGATTGATCTTACAATTGGTCGATCGGGCGGCGTTTGCTAATTGCATTTTCTTCGCGCTGCGGGACGTGGAAAGGAGGAGGCTTGAACCTACTGTTTCGGCCGAGTTCGAGCATGATATCAACATGTTCGTGGTAGGAATGAGCCCTGTTGTAACAAGCTATGGCGTACCGTGCGATATCGCCCAATAGAAAGGTGATAGACAAGGTATTTAAGAGGTTTCTTGTACGGCGGGGGTAGATATCGATGAAACCTGCCTGCCATTAACTTGAACCCGTGTTACTTCAACTGTATTTGGGTCAACTCTCGAGGTCAACCTGGACCTTGTCCGCCACATCTACCCCCAACTAAATAGCACCATCTTCGTCCCCTACGCGCCCCCTCCTCACCCTAGCAAGGTGCCCGAGACGACAAAAGGGATGGTCTGGCGCGCGTTCTCCGCCTCCTCTGCCGCTAGGCGTGCCCCTTCCTCGCCCCAGTTAGAGTTGCGGTGTCTCCGGGGAGGGCTTCCCATGCTCGTCGGGGACAGCGGGTGGGCGTCGCCGTACGGCTGCTTGCCGGGCGTTATGGCCGGCGGCGGCGGAAGCGGCGGCCTGGAGGGCGATGATCGAGGGCGGCGGTGGTTGCTGCCGAAGAGCGCCCTTCCGTGCAGGCCGGAGGAGGCCGAGAGCGCTGCTTGCGGCCTGGATTCCTCGATGAAGTATCCCAGAGCGCTGATATGGGGCGAGTGCGTTCCCGACAATGGATCGCGACTGCTGTAGTTTTCCCCACCGTCTCGAAGGGCCTCGTTTTTTCTGTAGTCAAGTCCTGCTTTGCTTTGTGCGATGGCTATTCCAAGTCTTCTTGGCTCTCCCGGGCGCCCCCGCTGGGCTGTACTGAATTCCTCCGGGCCACTGTTAACCGTCGAACATGATGGCCTGCGGTCTACTCCGAGCTCTCCGCGGGTCGACGTGTCTGTAGCGGAGCCAGGGCTAAACCTGCACGAGTGGTTGAGTCGTGGTATGTATCAGGTGGACCAGTTCGGATGTCCGAAGGTAGCGAGCAGAGATCGGAATGTTCTTTTCATGTGAAGACAACAACCACAACAACAACAACAACAACAACGTCCATCGTCAATGCTGCATATCGCGTAGCTTATGCTGGGCGAAGTTGTAAACGCGTTAATCCGCCTTCATTCTCGTCCTGGAAGTTTGTGATAAAGCTATTCTGACAGACGCATGCACGAGAGCATGGTAACTGGACACAACACCTCAAGGTCTGATGGCAGTTGCCACAATATTTCATCCGATCAAGAGCAGAAAAATCTATGCTCCTCTTCGTGACCGCCAGCGCCCTGTCGTACAACATCTGGGGAGCATCAACCAACAATGGGTCACCGTCTATCCATCACCCTATTTTACCTCCTATCTCGTGTGTCGTTACACTCCTCCAACATGGGAAGGGTGACGGACACGGACGGTCTCCATTCGATCGACGAGCCCTCGTTTTCCCAGTTGGCCACCGCCGCGCACCCTTCCTTCTCTAGGTCTGGCCGGAACGAAGCCGACGTGATGCTCCGTCCAATCACCGCGCTGTCATCTAACAGGAGGTAGGGGTCGATCGCCTGTCCCCGGCTGCATCCCGCTGTTCGGGGTCGCCGAACGTCAGTTTTTGCCCTTCGAGCGAGCGGGTGTAAGGAGGAAGCTCGAGCGATGGCAGCGGAGTTCGGCCGCTTCGCCGCTCTTCTAGCTCCACCGTGAGCCACTGCATCAGCAGAGCTCACGTGACGGGCTGACCCCATAGGCGGATTGTTCTCGCTGTTGCCGTCCTCCTCGTCATCGTTAAAATTTTTGTTGCTGCTGCCTGAGGGCGTGCTACCGATTTGTCGCGCACCGCCGATCTTGTCATCGGGATCTCCATCACCCTCTGTACTCGCTGCGGGACCCGTTGTCGCAACGGACATCGCAGCTAACAAGGAGGGGGAGCTGATAGTAGAGGTCAGCGTGGCACCGGTGGAAGTCTGCACTGGGTGCTTGTTTCCAAGGGCTCCCTCGTTGTCGCCACCTCTGCCGGGATCCAGCCTGTAGCCACACCCACGGATGAAAGTAGTGCCCAGTTCGACGGCAGATTCGGCAGTATCTGTAGTCCGGGTTGTGCTCAACCGCACCGGTTCCGACGTGCTCCAAGCGGGGCTCCGTAGGCCTGATGACGACGGAGACAACCCGTTCGAAGGCCGTGTTCGTGCCGCCGTTCCGCAACCAGTCGACCGAACACTTTTGGCCGAAACACTAGTACGCATCATCACCCCACCAACACTTGCCGCAGTCCTACGCCCCACGGGAGTGCTGGTTCGCGGCCTCGCGTCGGGGTACCGTCCGTCTTTGCTTATTGGCTGAGATGACGCCCACGTGGGATGGTGTGGGGTGGTAACCTGTGTTCCGGCATCGGTATGCTTCCATGGTCTCTCGAGCTGGTTCGCAGTGCGGCGACCGTTCGAGAGATAACAAGGCAATATGTGCAGCGAGTGCCTCAGGTGAACTGGGAGGTACCGCGGCACCGTAGTAAGAGTTTGTTCTACGAGTGTTGTTGAAACAAAGGGTATTTGGACATTCGTATATGAAGACAATGCCACCAGTGATTTCATCAACATCCATTCACGACACGCTCTGACGAGAGGTTGTGTCATCCATGTGTTTGCGAGTGACTCATGTTTCGGTGCACATTTACTTCGAAGTATGTGTCGTTGAACTTGCATCGACAATCATTCCGCGTGCGCACCTGCTTTACTTTGCGTTGCAAAGGTAGCCTGTTCCTTCGCTGTCCCAACGGCGTTAGGTCGCTATCGGCTCCCCCACCACAGCATCCGGAGTTTGGATATGCGATCAAGGACCCACCCGTTGGTATCGCCAGGGTTGTTCTGCCCATGGTGGGAGTACTTGTCGGCCTCGCCTACAGCAAGCAATGTACTCTGTTGAGGAGCGCGTCTCGCGTGGCCGCCCAACGTGAAATAAGATAAGAAGAGGAAACAATTATTTAAAGAAAATTTTAATTTACATAACACAGAGCCCTAAATGCATTGTTTCTCCAGAGGTATCATGTACCAACGTGTAGTTTGACCAAATACGTGCTTCAAACTTCAAATTTTGTCTTGCCGCTCATTTTTTTTTTTTTGCTGACGGCCTCCATCTCCCGTCAACTTCCACGCCGCGGTTGCTCTACCCACACGGTGGGGGATATCTCAAAGGCTTACCGCCTAATTGGCCTGGCTATAATTCTCATTGATTCTCCAAGCAGAGCGGGAGGGCAGTACGTTATATCACCACACAGAGTAACAACAGAGCCGGCTTGGTCCGCATGAATTGTCGGCGGCCAAAAATTATTGCGTGAAACCGTCACCTGACAGTCAGAGCAGCAAACGCCTACACGCCAGCCCCTCCGTCCAAATGCGGCGAGATTTGTTTGTGGGACGTTCGTTTGGTCACCCCCCTCCCTCCCAGGCACCTTTCACACATCCAGGGAAGTAGACGCGATGAGCACGGCGACGGTGGCGGCAGGAGTGCCCAAGAGCGATTGGTCTCTGCCTACCCGACCGGGTCTGCAAATCGAAGATGTGAGTCTCGCGAGCCGACGATGTTCATCTCTTGCCCCATTCAGCATCAGATCAGTTGTACAAGAGGCGTCCGTTATCAGACACAGCGGGCAGTGATTTAAAGTGCACAGCAGTGGTACACACAGATACGGTCATCGTCCGCGTTCTGTCGTCCCCTTCCATCACCCGTGACTCTGTGCCAGACGGCAACCTTAAATATCGCAGTCGTTGTTCCGTCTAGCTGCGTTGGGATCCACCAGTGAGAATCACATACTGCTGTAGCGTGCACAGAGGAGGGGTGTATCCCGGACGGTCGTCTTACATGTATCTTCATCAGATAGTTGTGTGGATCCAAAGCTACAACAGCGGTACCGCCGGTTCCTCGAGGCCTAAAAGCCATATGTTGACTGGTAGATACGCTTCGGTCGTTTGATTCCTGCCCAACACGGCAGACGTTTGGACCTGGAAAAATTGTGGCATCCAGCATCACTGCTTTCTTTTTCAATCTTTGTTTGGACCAGTGCCTTCGCCGCTCGCTCCATGTTATCCGCTGCCACCGGCTGAGGCGCTGCTGCGTGCTATACCGCCATGCCGGCCGGCTAGTGGAAGTATGTTCGCAAGAAGCCGAGGCTCAGATTTAAGACAAAATCACGAAAAATGCCCTAAGAAAGTGAACACAGAGGCCGGCGCTATATTAGTTCTACTTGAGTCGAAGAAGCCTTTTTGCTCAGTGTTGGGGACAAAGACAAAATATTGTACTTGTATGGTTTTGAGCCTTGCTCGAAGTTGGTGTTTCTTGATGAACGAGCCGGCGCTGTACGCACCGATCCAGGAAAACGAGTATGCGGGGGCAGCGAACGCAGCGCCGGTTCTGTATGTGGAGGAAGCGGAGCACTTTGTGGAGAGCTTGCGAGAGTTCTCTATTGAAGAGATTGGGAACAGCAGGTGCGAAAAGGGTCCTTTCTCGTGCTGCTCTTTCTGCTGTGCGCGCGCACAAGACTAACGATACTGCTGTAGCCCCATCCATGGAACCTCATACACCGCGTGGTACATTTGAAGCGATCTCTGTCGTCCAAGCTCCCGAGTTGGGTGAGGTGTGCGCAACAGCAGTGCAAGTTCAAGGGGTGTACTAATCTCGGAAGCAACCTGAACAAAGCCTGCGGTATGTAACTTATGTGAACCACGACAGCAGCAGTGTGATGCAGCGAAGCCCGTCTTCCTGGTTTCTCACAGGTACGTACGTACGCGTTCAATTGGTAGGTTCAAACGTTCTAAGATTATTTGCGCATTGTTTTTAGCGTGCACTGCTCCCTTCGTTCCTCTGCCGGCTGACGGCATGTGCTCAAGTGCAGGGACGATTTCGCCTACCTGTCCACGGCTGTTACGGACAGGTCAAATATTTCTGCATAGACTCAACCTGCTCACGGCAAGGTGGATGGCGCCCTGCCCATCCCTCTCCCCTGTTCTGCCCTTGCCAACACAGTAGGGGGGCCGATGTATGGCCCCATAAATAAGGTCACCTGCCCTTTCAAGGCCGGTGAACTCGCTTAGCACAGACTGAGTAACCCAACTGACTTATACTCTGAATAGTGCCGGGTGCTCTGTTTGAGGCCTGTGTTTGCCTGCCCTTTGAACCTTACATCGGGCCCCCTACTGCACTGTGCTACGCCACCGATTCCCCCCCCAACCTCGCGCCCCACCTGACATCTCGTGCGACTCTGCAGCTGGTTCGAGCAAAACCGCCGACTGGCCAAGCTCAACCTTCAGGCGCACCAGAGTGCGATGGCGAGATCCGACGAGTACGTCCTCGAGGCCCTCCTGACGTTCGACAAGCTAGGCGTCATCGTGCACGAGCTGCTGGCCATCGAGGCGTGGAAGGAGGTTGGTGACAGCAAACAGCACTGGCGGGGTGTGTACACCCTCGCGTTTAGCTGCTGGTCCACGCTCCGTCTTGGCTGGCGATATGAAATATAGCTACTAGTCCTGTCACCAGTGGCAAACCTTCTTACCGAGGGTTCTGCGGACGGGCTGCTCTGTACTGCTGCTCTTGCGTGTTGCGTGTCCGATGCTCGTCGCGAGGACAGCGGGCGCGATAGATTTTTTGCGTAGTTGTGGACGAACGTACGTGTAAAGCTGGCGTTGAGGTACATGAGCACACGGCTGTCCTTGTAGACCCATGAAGCGTTGTTTTGTTTGGTCTCAAGTCCGAAGCGCGAACAAGAAGGCTGCCTCCAAGAGCAGACATGCTATACCCCGACAGCACCGCACGTGGCATGAAATACAAGCACGCGGAAACGTTGACGTATTTCGTCATGAAGCAGGTTCATGCTCCATGCTGCGATACCAGCCGTTGCTGGTCGTTCTTCCGAGACAAGCAGGACCGGGACTGACAGCAGCACACCGTCCGCACTCTTGTATCTGCCACTTGCCCACACCCCGGTGGTCTAGTGGGTAGCCTCGCAGCCTGCTAAGGGCCAGGTCATGGGTTCGAGTCCCGGCAGGGAGAGTTTTTTTCTCACTAAATAAACCCTGGTCTAGGATGAAAGCGACGCACTGCAAAGCTCGTTTGTTAGTAAACCATAATCGACTTCGCAAGTCGCGAGGGAAGGGATTGCTGTACCCTTCTCGCGATAAAAATACCTCAGGCATGAACCGCAGGAGGGGGTCCAACCCCCCCCTCCTATGTGACCCCGGTTGGGTCGTCTTGCCAGTAGAAGTGGAGGACAGGGGCCAGAGGGGCAGGCGGCAGAGTCCAATGATGGGAGAGAAACAAACAAACAAAAAAAACCAATCCCGCCGCGGAAGCACAGCAACAATGTCTACCGCCCTTCCTGTCCAATTGACCCACAGCCGCGCAAACCATTGAGAAACCCTCTCTCCTTCCACAACGCCCCACCCACGTGTTTTATGATGACGTCATGCCAGTTCGTTCTTCCCCGGCTGCTGGAGACGGAGCGAGCAAGGTCGGGCAAGTGCACGATGCGGCTCTACTTCACCCTCTACCACGAGGCCACCCTCGCGAACCTCCTGCAGGTCGCCTTGTTCCACGGGCACATCTGCGAGCAGGCGGGAGGAGACCTGCTCATGGAGCTCGCCGACTACTGCGCTCGCAAGATGACCATGCTTATCTCCGGGTGGGTGTTTTGTACGCTTGTTTTTCGGCGTTTGTTCTGTCCGTTCGTGGGACCGCTTTGTCTTGCGTGTTTGTGCGTGGCTGTGTATTAAAAAAAAAAACTTTGTTGGATGGGGGCATGCTTTTCTTTTTTTGGTGCTCTGCCCGTGCGCGGCGCAGTCGTCTTTGTTCGGAACTGCGGAGTGTGGCTGATGGCCGGTTGGCAACTGCCAGCAGCGATGGTAGGCTTTCTTGGCAAGCGAGAGCTCGAAAGGGTAGCGGTGGCCGTCACACTACTGCGTGATGGGATACTCTCCGAGTTTATTGCGATGCCCATTGGGCGTCACGCACGTCGCTTATCCTACTTAAGATTCGTAGCAGCAGGCGGTCGATTGTATGTAGGTGCGCTACTACACACTCCAAGAATACTGTGCGTTCCTGCGGCGAAACTTCGCGCGTGCTTCGCCGATCCCTGCCCTTTCAGGCGGGCCTCGAGCAAACCGCGGAGCCCCGTCGGCGGGAGCGCCCGGGAGGTGGCGAAGGACATAGAGGAAAGGCTCGCTAAGCTCTCTCCGGCGGAAGAGGTCAGTGCGTTGTATATCATGTGTGTGTGTTTTTATCATTAGCATCGACCGCGCGAACCGGCTAACCAATGACAAGACGTCAGCCTCAATAGTGTTGTGTGTGTGAATGTGTGTGTTTTTTTTTGGTTTTGTGTATTTTTATGGTAGGGTCGACCGCGATAAGCGGCCGACCAATGTTTGTGTTTCGTTGTTAGCATCGTACAATACACTGTGTGTGTGTGTTTTTTTTTTTTTTTCGTTTCATCTGTTCTGGGTGCCAATGTAAACCTTTCGAGATACGTTTGAAGCACCAGCCGGGGTCACGCAGGAGGAAGGCAAACGCAAGACTTGTGTTCTTTTCTTCTCCGCCTGTCCTGCTGCGACGTCATTGTTTCTCGATTACTTTGTTGCGGTTTTGGTTTCGATTGTCCAGCCGGCCAAGTTTTCGTGCTGCAAGAATAGGGGCGGCCCGCTCAAGGTGCCGACGATTCATGCCATGCGTGCAGACTACCATGCGGGGTTTTGGTATTTGTGGCGAAAGGGCAAAACTCGTTGATTCCCCATACTCCATAGAAGCTCTACATGGCTCTATGAGCAAACACGGTTGCCGTGATAATGTATGTTTAGGGGGTCACACGTAGATCATACGCTCTTTTTGTTTATCACCATCCAGTGTTCCTTCTTTTACTTTTCTCTGCAAGACTACCGTCCCGCCGCAGTGCCTCCGTTTTGCCTCTTGTCGAAGCACGATGCCTCCATCCATCCACCCTTCCATCCGCGCGCATGCTTTCGTGCTTCTTCTCGACGCCAGTCTTGGCATCAACCAATCAGTAAACGGCCTCTCTCTGCCCCTGTTGCGTCATTTTTTTTGTCGTATCGAACGGGGCTGGCTGGGCGGCCGGGCCTACAGGTCCGGGGCTACCAGGAGGAGACGGAGTTCCGGGTGTGCGTGACGGCAGTGGCCCTCCTCCGCTTCCTGTGCGAGCACCTGTACCGCCTTCCCCTCGGGGTGATGACGAGAGTGCTGGACACCCACGACGTGCTTCTCGGCCTGGTTATCCTGGTTGAGAACCCGCCTTGGACCAGGCGGACAGAAGAGGTATGTATGTGCACGCATGCGACAGCAGTATCTATCGGAGAAAGCAAGGGTTTCCAATGGGAGGATAGGGGGCTACCGTGAGGTTGCGATTATGGGGGGGGCG